AGAAAACAGAGAATCAGACACAATGCTTTACTTGTGAAACCTAAGAAGACTTTGGGTAACAATAATGCCTAGATTGTTTAAACTTCCTTAAAATAGAGAATACATTTTTTTTTAAAGTTTTCTTACTCTTGCCAAGAGGTAAACAAAACCTGATAATCCAAAATTAGCTAGGGGATCACAAAAATTGCCACCATAACAATAAATAACAGTCCAATTTCACCTATAGACAGGCTACAACGTGTTAAAAACAATAATACATCAGGACAAAGTAGTTTTTATCCCAGAAATGATCTTACTGGTCAACACAAGGATATTTGTTACTATAACTGACTTTACTAATAGTGTAACTAGATAAATCTAGGGAAATAAGTGTTCCAGTGTTTGTATAAAACCTTGGTCATATTAGCAAATATAACTACACAGTAATTAAAAATTGCTTTGAATTGACAAAAATGTATGTCAAATGTAAAAATACACTCTTAATGCATAATTAACACTTCCAGAAAATACTTTCCAGATGTTTCTTCTACATATTTATCACACCCCCATTAATTGCCTCAAAAATGTTTTCCCTCCCAAACCACCTTTCCCCACACTTGCCCTGTACATACACACTTTTATTTTTTTACCCTGTCAGCTTTCAATTACTTTTTTCTTTATTTGAACATTAGTGCTCTGTGCTTTCTAAAGTAGATATTTTGGGTCTTAGCTTTTCCAAATCTATTTTTCCTAGAACAATGTGCACAAAAGGCCAAGGGGCTAATAACGCAGCACAGAATCATGACAAAGAGTGGGAAGAAGGGGAAGCTGGAAGCTTCCAAAGTATCCTTCAGGGGTGAGAGAGAAAGTCAAGGAAGCTACCTATCTTGAGTTGATATATATATATATATTTTTAAAGATTTTATTTATTTTATTTGACAGACAGAGATCACAAGTAGGCAGAGGCAGGCAGAGAGAGAGGAAGGGAAGCAGGCTCCCTCCTGAGCAGAGAGCCTAATGTGGGGCTCGATCCCAGGACCCTGGGATCATGACCTGAGCTGAAGGCAGAGGCTTTAACCCACTGAGACATCCAGGCGCCCCAAGTTGATATATTTTATTCAGCCACAATAGGTTAATGGATAAGAACCTTATGGTTATGTTGATATATTCCAAAAAAGCATTTAGTAAAATTCAAAGCCTTTTCTAGCATTTCTTAGCTGTTATTGAAGAACACTTCTCAAACTCAGCATAGATTTATTTTATTCAACAAAATGAAATTCATTGTTTTTTTCTCAACTATTAATTTGATTTGAATACTTTTTTAATCATTACTGATTTTTTTTTAGGGAATCATATATACTGGTCAGTCTCTAATGAACAAATAAAAATTTGTCTCCAGTCTGGACTTACTGATTTAGAATCTTTGATGGGTGGGGCCTGAGCATCTTTGGTTTTAAACAGCCCGCAGATGATTCGGATGTACGCACGGAATATATGAGGGAAGACAGACAACTACACAATTAATTTCAGTGTGAGGCAGACTGAGACCAGGACCCTGGAAATTTATGAGAAGTACTATGGAGACACAAAGGTGGGAGACATTGATTCTGACTGAGAAGCCTTCTCAAGAGAAGATATATGATAAAGTCTGTGAAGGATAAACACAAACTAATAAGGACCATTATTCTATACCTCACTTAGGAGAAGGAAAAGAGCTTCCTTTGAACTGCCTCTTACAGGATAAACCTGTAGATATTTGAAGACAGACTTCTTACCTTTTTCTAAGAAAAATGTTTCAGTTTCTTGATGTTGAAGAACATTTAAACATTAAGCTTGCCCAGTCCTGATACTGTAGTACCAGAGGTCTAATATTAATCATTAAGTTTCTAATGTTTTAACAGAATTGGTAGAAACTAAGAAAAGAAACTAAGAAAAAATAGTGTCCCCCTTCTGCTTGTTCTAACATTATTTCCTCTATGCAAAAGAGCCCCTAAAGTCCATATATTAGCAAAATGGCTCCTCCCTGTAGTTGTTTTACTTTTTTGTCTCAACACTATCTGGAAGCATCTTTGATTGGGATGATTAAATCCCCTCTATGAATCTGCATGTATACTAGAAAAGGTAAGAATATATGGTTTTCTTCCTGATATATAAAAAAATCTAGTAGAATATCTATATATCTATATATCTATATATATCTATATATCTATCTATCTCCCCCAACTCAGGATTCTCTTCTTTTAAGTGAGATGTAATTGACGCAACATGTTAGTTTCAGGTATGCAACTACAGAGAGTAACAGGAATCACCCATGTCAAGCATGAAATGTCAAGCAGTGACACAAGAACCAAAGGCGTTGCAGCTAAGACCAGATACTGAAATAAGCTCCAGCAGACAGCACCCTCAGAATGATGATGAGCAGAAAAAGGAGAGTTCTGCAAAGGCCCAAGACAGATGAAATCCCTTAAAAAAAAAGATTTTTGCAGCAAACTATCAGACTTTCAAGATACTGACCTGAACTTTCACGTTTGACCACATCAAAAAGACAGCCGCTGCTGAAGCTCTGCCGGACTGATCTCTGAACAGAACAGAGGTCCTGCACTGCTTGGACATAATAAGCAGCACTCGCTGAGGGCTGACCCCACAGACGGAGGCCTTTACTGAACTGCGTGCTCACAGACTGACTTCATCTTTGGTGTCTTAACTTCCTACTCCCTGTACTATCTTTCTTGCTGTGTAAGTTTTCTTGTGCTTTGTTTTGTGTGGTGGTAAGAGGAAAAGTTGAACAAAGAGTGAAATGTCACTGAGTTTGGAATCCTGAACCTGCTTTATAATTACGTTAACCTTGCTTTACGATTGAATAAAACCGGCATTGTGGAAAGACACAACTCGTGTGTGTGCCTTCCTAGCGTGCTCATGACAACAACAATTAATACTTTGATACTTATATACATTGAGAAATGATGATGACAATAATCAGGGTAACATCTGTCACCATATATAGTTACAAAAATTTTTTCCTTGTGATGAGAGCTTTTAAGCTCTACTTTCTTAGCAACTTTCAAATATGTAATACAGTATTAGCTGTTATTGTCACCATAATGTATATTCTATTGGCTTATTATTAAAGAAATATTTTAATGTTTTGCAGAAAGAATGAATTCTTCCTTGTGTGATGGTGGAAAACATCTCTTTTGGGGAAAAATACAGAATCTTACTTCACACTATATTCACAAATATATGCTGGATGGGTTACTATTAAAATAAAAATGTAATCGAGGTATGTATAATAAATACAGTAAACTATGATAAAATAGTAACAAAATGCAAAACTAAATAAAATAGAGGTAAAGATGGAGAACATTTTTGTAAATTTGCCCTGTACAAAACCCACCTAAGGAACACAAAATCTCTGATGCCTTAAGGGGAAGGACAGGCAGGTTCATATCAAGTCAATAATAATAAAATCAGATTGATGAAGGGAAAGTTAGAAAGATAAAAAAGAAATCACAAGCTTGAAGAAAATAGTTATAGATTATCAAAAACACATTAGGAATGTTGCTATCAATTGTTTTAAAAAGGCAAAAAAAATTAGAAAAATATATAAAGAATAGAAGCAGAAAAAAGAAAATATAAATGTTGAATAAATCTATGAACGCTTCAACCTCAATATTAATAATGGGATTGCACACTAAACAAGAAAGAGATGCCATTTTTACTTATTAAGAGGACAAAAGTCAAAATGAATTGGCAAGACATATAGACACAGGCAGTCTCATCAAAGAAACAATTTGGTGTTTATCTCAGTTTAAAAATACGTATAGTCTTTGACCCAGTAATTCAACTTCTAGGCAAGTTTTATACATGTGCACAAATATCAATATATATCTGATAATAGCAAAAAGTTGGAGACAATTCAAATTTTCAGGGTTTTTAGCAAGGGAAATTTCTACTTATAATGGTTAGTTTTAGGTATCAACTTGACTGGCCATGGGATGCCCAGATTGAACATAACTTTTGGATGTGTCTGCGGGGGTGTTTCCAGATATGGTCAGCATTTGGATCAGTGGGCTCAGTAAAGCAGACTCCCCTCCCCAATGTGAGGGGGCATCATCCAAACAACTAGAGGTGTGAACAGAACAAAAGTAGTGGGGGTGAGTTCGACCCTCTTTTCCTATTTCACTGCTTGAGCTAACATCTCATCTCATCTTCTGCCTTTAGACTGGGATGTACACCTTCGACTCCTCCAGTTCTCAGCCTTAGGAGCCAAACTAAATTCTACCATCAGCTTTCCTGGTCTCCAGCTTGTCAATGGCCGAACACAAGACTCGTCAGTCTCCATATTTGCATAAGCCAATTCCTCATAATGACTCTCCTTCTGTATGTATGTTCTCCTATTGGTTCTTTTTCTCGGGAACACCCTTTCACACCACTCAACTGGAGGCTACATTCCTCAGCCTTTCTTACACCTAGAGGTACTCTCGTAACTCAATTCTAGCCAATCAGATGTAAATAAGCACTGACAGGGACAATTCTAGGTACACCTTTAAAGAGAAGCTGCTCACTTGTCACTTCCTCTGTCCCCTTCTTCCCTTCCTGTGGGCCATACCTAACATGATGGAGAGGAACCAGTTCCTCTTGTATAAATGGGAAAATCACTCTAGGGGATGGCAACAAAATCAATGAAATCTCGGCTCCTGAAAACTGTCTTGAGGAGAGCCACCTGACTCTCCTGGGACTTCTGTGTGAGACAAAAATGTATTTTCCTTCTGGTTTAAGCCAGTGTTCATCACTTCCGGTTTGTGAAGGTAACAAGATACTCCAACCAACACAGTAAATATACACACACTGAGCATGCGACACTGAAATGTGAAAACATGCCATTTAGATGCTTTTATCAGAATTCGAATACAAGTTCCTAGTCAAAACCCACAAATCAACATTCTGACATCTCCAAAATTCTGAGAAGGACACATAACCGAAGCAACATTCAGCTCAGTGCCACTTTCTTTCTCACTGACCTCCAAAGTAAGAGCCATCTGTCAGCTTCATTTCTTTACTGGATTTTGTGATGACACCAGCAACTCCATGTTGAATGAAATACATTTTTTTACCCACAGCTCCTTCTCGTATGATATAATCTCCAGGTTGAAACACCTCAAATCTCAGCTTGCTCAGCATGGCGGTCACGAAATTGGGATCTGCATTAGCAAACAGCGGCATGGTAGCCACTAGTTTCCGACAGTTGAAGTTGACGATCTCCTAAAGATGGCAAGGGCAGACAAATATGAAGAGAGGTATTAATCATAGCAGGAAGAAGAGCACATGCTTATGTTAAAATCTATACATAGCCCAATACTGCAATTTAAGTTCAGAACCAAAGACACATAAATTCTAATAATCTGCGTATCTCTTCAAAGCCAGAAATTATGTTTTATTTTTGTGTTGGAACTTTGTATTCCCAGCATCTAGCACAGTATACGCATATATTAAACATTAAGTAAATGTGAATTAAATATATACATCTTACCTTTTATAACTTCCCAATCCCTTTACCAAACTTCATATAAAATTAGAACTCAAATGTGGAAGAGTTCTAGTCTCCGCTTTATCTTGTTTTATGAAGAAAAGGAGTCACACTACCTCCTGTTAACTATAATATTACTGCTTTTGTGCCCCATTGTGTTGAACAATCTAACTTGCACCTACTGACCAGAATTCTGAAACAAAAGTCCAGCTTCCAGACAAGCATTTTAATGTTTTTTTTTTTTCTTAATGTTATTCACATTAAAGTGAGGACAATGGGGTGTGCAAGAAAGGTTATACAAAGAAGGCTCTAATCTAACTATAATCTATAATTGTAACTTCAATCTGTTTCTGGGCTAGACCAGAAAATCACTCTTCTTAAACCTCTTGGGCTTTAGACTGGAGGGACTACAGTTTCCTTTTCCTGAATTGTTTGTCTTATTCCTGGAGACTGGCCAATTCTGAATTAAACTTAAACATTTGATTTCATTCTGTAGATGTGGTCAAGATTAGAGATATGGGAACAACCATTTTTTTTTTTTTTTAAGATTTTATTTATTTATTTGAGAGAAAGAGAGAAAACACAAGCACACAGGCACTGGGGAGGGGCAGAGGCAGAAGAAGACTCTTGCCGGAGCAGGGAGCTTGCCATGGAGCTGGAGCCTGACATGGGCTTGATCTCAGGGTCCTGAAATCATGACCTGGGCCAAACGCAGACACTTAACCGAGTGAACCACCCAGGTGACACTGGAACCAACCATTTTTAATCTTGCAAGTTACATATGTAAAGAGATAAATAGTAGGAACGTAAATTTTACCACAATGCCATTTCTCAAAAATTTGTTCTCCAATGAGCCCTAAGGAAAAAGGGTTAACCCTGAATTTGTGATCTCTTTTATGAGACATAGATACTGAAGGAAATCCTGCTAAAAGGTGGGAAAAGGGCAAAAAAAATTTGGAGGTATTAACGAAAGCTGAGATCTGAATTCTTGCTTTGGAAAAATACGTTATATAAACTAATAGATAAAATAGATAATAAGTAGTTAAAAAAGTTAATAGATAAAATAGATAAAAAAAAGTTTCTTCAGTTTTGGTTCATGAAATGACCTGACCTTATTTTGGAATAGGTAAGAAAATTCTAGCTAATACTGGGGCAGAAAATTTGGGGTCCGCCATGGAGAAGAAGGTATTTCAACTTTAATAGTATTTTGTCAGTTCAGTAGGGCAAAGAAGAGTCTCCAATGGTGGGGTTTCACGGAGGACGGTAAAATATTAAACAGTCAGCTGTAATAAGCAATAAGTGAAGATAACAACAAAGACAAGAGAAAGATATTACATGTGGTACCTCGTGTAGCATCATCCAAGCCCAAATAATGTTCAGCTGACTCCATGGGGGGCTGTACCGAGGACAAGTTGTGGTTAATTTTAACTGGTGCTGGCGAGCTTTGGTGGGGATGGGACTACAGTAAGATACAGCAGGTGGTACGAGCTGAGTAAATATGCAGGCAGGTAGAGAAGGTGGAAGGAAGGCGGGAAGGGAAGAAGAAAGGGAGGAAGATGGAGTTTGAGCAGTGGAAAAAAGTGCTCACAAAGACTAGTTTTGTTCCCATTGGGAGATATTTACTTAAAACTCCTAGAAAGCTCTCTCAAGCAAACAGCTTGAGAAACAAGTCTCTGGTGTATAAAAATATGTTTTTTATTATTCAAAATCTTTCTGTACAAAAACTTCAAGAAGATAAAAGGTGAACCACTTAAGGTACTCAAGGTAAGCACATGAGTTGAAAGAAGACAGAGAGATCGTTAAAAGGACCAGATTGACTGTTTGAGTTAATGATTTCACATGCAAAATGGCAAAGAATACTGTGGAGGAAAGTGAACATAAGTCAAGTTGCAGAGAAAATAAGAAATTTCAAACAAAAATAATAAAACAGAATTCTTTTATCTGTGTTCTTGGATTTCAACTACACAATTTTTCTCTTCATTGTTCTCTCATTATTTTAGAAAATAATTGGAAGTATATTTTATAAACAATTTAGCTGTACTTTATTTATATGAATAACTTTTTCTATGACGCATTGCCCGTTCAGGTACACCTATTGTAACTGCCTTGATTGTAACACCGTGGGGATAATTTCATATTATTGTTATGGCTTAAAGGAATTCATTAATTTTCTCCCTCTCTGTGGAACTTTTACCCCCAATGTGACAACTATCAGATTGAAACTATAAATTCTAACAAGCATTTGATAAGAAAAAATGTAATTAGAAAGTTATTTGCATTTAAAAGCCCTTTCTCCTCCCATAAAATTGGCTTGCTTCGAGGGTATATAGTTTAATAGAAACATCATGTAAGTCTAGAAATGAAGCAAAACTTTTAAAAGCTCTTCTCCATCAATCACATTTCTTTATAGCACATTTTCTTAGAGAACATATTTAATTAAGTTATTAATATCTCTCCATATGTAAAACAAGACTTTTAAAGCTCCTCCTCCATCAATCACAGTCCCTTATAGCACACTGACTTAACTGAGACATACAGTTAAGTTATTAATATCTCTAATTTCCATCCACGTTCTTTACGGCAGTTTTTATAATAAGCTATTTTAGCAATACGTCTGGCTTGAATTAGGAGTATTGACCATATGCATTAAATTGAGGAATGCTCCATTCTTAAGGGAATCAGACAGGACCCTGACCTAAATAAGGTACTCCATATTAGCAAGCTTACTGTAAACACTTAAAAAAATTGTAATCTTTTTCTTCCTGGAGCATCTTGTAGTAACAGAAAGTATAGATGTGGTAAAAACAAACAAAGAAATACAATCATCCAAAAAAAAAAAAATCCCACAAAGATGAGTGTATTTCAAAAGGGGCCAAAGGAAAGAGCTACCAATAGCAAAAGCTTTAACGATTGGTGTAACAGTAAATAATGTAGAATTAGATTAATCCCAAAGTATAAAATAAATAATCATGAGACCATATTTATACAATATAATTAAAAAATGGAGTAAATTAAAAAGCACGGGGAAATAGACAAATCTGTTCAAATTTCAAACAAACTTTTCTCTACTAAATAAAAGCATAGTACAATAAACAACAATGAAGAATGCTGCATTTGATCTTACTTTGATATGTCAGTTTATTTCAAATATGAAAGACTTTCCTTTCCAGTGCTCCTTCGTTTTGTTTTGCTCAAGTATGATAGAATTATTTATGTTCATTGTTTGGTCCCAGACTAGAGAATATTTTTTAAAGTATCATACAGACAGAGTAAAGTGCATAAATCTTAAGTGAATTTTCAAATGTATAACCACAACCTCTCTATCCATTCATCCATTGTCAGTGGACACTTGGGCTGTTTCCATGGTTTGACGACTGTAGACTATGCTGCAATAAACACTGGGGTGCATGTATCCCTTTGAATTAGTGTTTTTGTAGTCTTTGGGTAAACATCCAGAAATGCAACTGCTGGATTGTCAGGCAGTTCTATTTTTAACTTTTTGAGAAACCTCTGTACTATTTTCCACAATGGCTATACATGCACTGATTTCTCTTGAATATTTGTTTACCTTATATTTGAATTGCTGGGTGATAAGGTAAGCTTATTTTAGTGGATACTAGCAAAAGTTTTCTAAAATGATTGTATTATTTTTCTCACATTCTTTGATTTTAGCCATTAGTAGGTATGCAGAGATATCTTACTGTTTCTAAATTTTTTTCTCATTGCAGTTTTATCTTACATTTCCCCAATGATTAATGTTGTTACGCACATTTTTATAGGCTTACTGATCGGATAAATATCCTGTTTGGTGAACTGCCCAGTCAAGTTTTCCTCATTTTTTTTCCTGTTGTTGGAGTTCTTTTTATAGTCTTGACATGAGTTCTTTGTTGGGATATACTTTATAAATATCTTCTCCTCATCTGTGACTTGCCTTTTTACTCTCAGCGTTTTTATTATTTTTTTGGTTTAACTTTGTGACACATCAGGAAATTGGATTTTGTATATATAAATAAACAGAGAGAGAGAGAGAGAGAGAGTGCTTTACAAAGAATTTTTAATCAATTTTTTAAAAGATTATTTATTTGAGAGTGAGAGAGAGCACACAAGGGGATGGAAGGGCAGAGGGACAAGCAGACTCTGTGCTGAGCATGGAGCCTAATGAGGCTCTATCCTGGGAGCCTGAAATCATGACCTGAGCCAAAGGTAGACGCCTAACCAACTGAGCCACCCAGGTGCCCCACAAAGGATTTATTTTAACCAGAAACCAGTACTTAGGAATTATGCAAAGTCTGAGACCCTGAGAAAGTTAAGGAATATTTTTTTGGTTGTTATTAAAAAGAATAGTAATATTTTAAGTCTCCTTGAAACACTATATTTCTTTACCAATAACTTAAGTATCATTGGGGAAAGTTCCATTTTGTAAAACATTTAGTTCTCTTCCATTATACTTTATTTTATTCTATATAGTATAGTTCTAAAATGTTTTAGGCATGGTGGCTATAAATATAATTACCATCATTACAATAATGAATCATAGAGTATCTTAACAAAACAGAGCTGCTGTTACTTTGCTAAATTCCTACACCCAACACACCCTGTATTTTTAGACTTTGCAGAACACACAAGACCTTCCTTCTAAGAACTTATATTAGACATTCCAATGTCATCCAGACATACGACTTCTATATTAACATCAAACACGAATAAACAAATATAGTCAAATCTATGTCAACTG